TGTTATATCGATTAAAGGATTTATTTGCCCATATCCAAATAAAAGATTTAATTGATTCAATCAAATTTTATTTGATTTAATTAAATGAGCTTCTCAACGAAAGCATATTATAGAATCACATCAAAGAATTAAGAAATATCTTTCTGTTTTCTCGCTTTTTCCTTTCTTTTCGAATATTTTGTCCGAGAATGATTTATCAGCCAGTGCGACCGCGGATGAGTTCTGTGCAATTGCATTCTATAAAAGCGTAGCACGGAAACGAAACGCGCGGTCGGTCGATTCTGGTCGAAACTTTCCAATTTATTTTCCGGGGATGATTCTCGGCCGTGAATAGCGAGTACGCGAACCATTTTCGAATCATCGATTTGTATTTGGATTTCATTTATAAACCAGCAAAGTATAAACCCAGTTGGAAATATGTTCAATGTCGCTGACCGTGCCACACCGAAGATTAATCGCGCTTCCCAATGTGAAGACAGGATAAATCTCTCTTATCACGTTTGCCGAAACGAGTTGAATTCCGTCGACGAGATATCGTCGATCTACGAAAATAGATTGGTGAAACTCAAATGACGGAAGTTAGTGTTTTCATCTTCGCATGTTCGTTAACGGCAATTTAACATTCCGTTCAAGTATTTCGTATTTTGAGAAGAAATGATCGTTTTACGTGAACCATCAGATGATCTCGCAGGAAATTAAGAAATGTTCTATAATAATTAGTTCTATAGAAATGTTCTATAATAATTAGATAATTTAATTCATGTTCTATGATACATTTCTCCTGATATGAACAAAAAAGAAAATGAAATTCATAATCTCAAAATTAATTCTTAGTACACATAATTGGGCCATTCAATATCTTGCATATGTCTTTTCTTTGAAATAAGGAGCATCAAGTAATTAGTTATAATAACTTACTTATATATAACTTTTTTAAATATGGAAACTTACAAATATTTTTTAAAGATGTTAAAGAGTATATGTGAGAATTTTTATATACATAATCTTTAATTACACAATCCTTTACATGATGGATCGTTTGGACTTGTTTTTATCACTTTTATATATACACAAAAATTAAATGACTTTTATACTTTAACAAATTTTTTAAAAATGTATTTGTAAAATTGTGTGTATTTAAAACAAGAAAAGGCTAAAGATAAAATGTGTTTTCGCCAAATATTTTTGTTATTTCAAAGAAATGCGTAAGACATGAATATTTCAATTGTGCGTACTATATTAATGTAAAAGTAAAGAAAATTAATTGGAGAGAGAACGAGTCACCGTAAAAAATTAAAAAGTCGTCTGTGTATTAGAGTTAAAAATTATGAATTTAAATTTAAATATATTTTTTACTTTAATATAATTTTTATTTTAATATAATTTTTCTCATACGATAATTTTTCTCAAATATAAATATGTACCCATAAATACGTATAATTATATGTACTCTAAATTCTTTCATGTCTTTTTTAGGATTTCTTATATATATATCAAAATTAATATTTTGCTACGTATAATATTACGAATTTCATATGAATTTTATAAAAAGTTTTAAGCAATGAAAAATTCTCGAATATGGTTAACCTCGTGCGTTGCATAATAAATTAGTCCGCTATATATGAGTCTGCCGGGAAATACGGCAGAGATGTACGTTGGTGCGGAGTTTCCTGCCGGGAGATTTCTTGCCAAATCATTTGAACTGCAGCAAATTGCAACAAGTTTGGCTACTGAAACTTTCAAGACTCAGCAAAAGATAATAAAACAGTTGGACGTGATTAGAAATTGAAAGGGGCGAAAGGCGCGAAGATGTGCCTCGTGACATAAGAGTGTGATAAATCTTACTGCGAAAAGTTTTGCGGATTCTTGCTAGAAATCCACAAAATTATAGTTTTATATTTCCCAAGTTTTTCTGAAATAAAATTGGAAAAATCTCTATATCTTTCTCTCTTTTTTTTTCTCTTTCACATATGCAGATTTGAATGAATTGTATTGATCTTTTTAAATTAAAAATTTAAATTAGAAATACTGATTGTTGGTTTCTGTTACTTGCTTCTGAATAAAAACGAATGATAAAATAAAATTACACTCCCAAGTCAATATCGAATAAACTACATGGCAAAAATATAAAAATTAAAATTATGAACTTTACGTGCATACATGTGGAATTTTGTCACGTTCATCAAATTAAATAAACAAACGATACAAGCGCCACTACGAAATGTTAAGATGTTGAACTATTATATATATTCATATAAATGAATTAATTTCAGAAATAATAATTGCGTGCCGATATTGTTGTTGGACTTTCGACAACGCGATCAATCTGAAATATTAATAATCCTCCCAAATTTCCCAAATTAATCTTAAAAAAGTATAATAAACTTATTGCGAAAAATATTGCCTCAGCCGGGAGTCGAATCTGAATCTCTTGCATTCCGTGAGTCCTAAGCCTTTAGACTACCGAGACAATTATCATTTCTAAAGTAATGTATTTAATAAACGGTCTTGTTTCTCAAAAAAAGAAATCTTTTTGGATTTTTCACAGAAATGTACACAGAAATTACGTCAACTATTTGTACAGCTATTTAAATGTTAAACGGAGTATTTGAGGGAAATCTTTTTATATATAGAGAACGCATTTGACGGAGCGTATTCTCTATTACCCGCCAAGTACACTCACGGCGCAAACGTTTATTAAGCGATGAAACGCGACAAAAGATCTTTGAATCATTGCAATTTTTTTCCGTCGCAGGTGCTGTCGACGCATAACTGACGTTTCTCTGCCGCATCGATTCGTTAGAGAATATTCGTAACGAACGTGCGCAGCGTGTTTCGCCCTTTCGAAGTTATTATCGCGGCGGCGTGTCGCATTGCAAACCACAGCTATCGTTTTCCATTACGTCGTATAGACGTAACGATCTGAACAATGCTCAATTAACAAGGTATGCACACGCGAGCCGAGCCACGCGCAGCTTTTACGAATTGAATCAGAGTTAGCGTAGTGATGACATCGATACATCAATCCACTCTACAAAGGGTAGATACATGTACAAATTCAAAAGGTTTGAAAGACAAACGTTTAAAACATTTTAATTTAGAAAACGAATATCGAGAGGAACGAATTTTTATTCCATTAATTTGTATCTATCGTTAACTCATACTCTCCCTCTTAATATTGAAAAAAATTGGTAACTATCTAAAAAAGTGGATTTTCATTTTATGTGTAAAAGGGGACACGAATTAATTCCCAATTAAATAAGAGCTTCGCCTATTTCCTCGTAATTTAATCTTTAATTAAATATTTAAGTATATAATAACTGATTAACTAATATATAATAACTAATTAAATATTTAAATATTTAATAACCGATTTAATATAATTGAGCGACAGTTTTTTTCTGCTCGATTCATTCGTTTCACAAAAAAAAAAACGCATCGAATGGTACATTTTTTCAACAATGGATCAATGAATAATCACCGATATTTTTGTACGCGTGTATGCATACACGCATATGCTGAGACCCACATGTATTCGTTCAATTTCTTCGCGAATGCGTGATCAAACTTATAATACGGACTGCATGTAAAAGAAGCTCGTTATTACTTCACAGTGCTTGTTCCATTGCATTTCTTAAAACTAGTAATTTTCACTCACGACATGACATGAACATAAAATAACCTCATTTTCATTTCGTATACTCATTGAGCATACATGAAATTTGATTGGTACAATCGTTATTGAAATAGAAATAGATGAAACAAGGATACTCTTCCTCCTCAATCCTATTGCTTATGGCCGAGCATGGTGATTTCTCTCATATGCTTGTGAGGCGCACGATGGTTGTACACAATCATATGGGATCTACAGTTTAATGTCAATTTCAAACGAAATTGTGTTAAGAGAAGTGCTCTTGACAAAGATATTCTCAATGGGTTATCGTTGCCTTCCAAGAAGAGATACGAGCATATGAAAATATTTTCGGTTTTACTGGAAATCGAACTCGGGAACTCTCTAACATAGCAGACGAATGCATTGTCACGCTCGCTCTTAAGAAACAAGGATAGTATGACATAAATAGCACTGATAGCGCTCTCTAAACGCACTCCTGATTTCTGCGGAGTGTAGAATGTGCAAAATGCAAAGAATGACTGGGTTCGACGTTGGCAGTGTTTCCGAATGCATCCGACTATGCATCGTCTAGCACCTCTTGCACCAAAAATTTCAACCATACATTCTGGGTGATCGTTATTAATAATAATAACGATGTATCTTAAAAATGATGATCAAATTCAAAGATTCAGAGATTTGCATCGCAATGTCTCCGCTCACGGGATACATAGAGAAAAAATAAAAGCACTTTTATTATACAATTCGAGTGGAAGCTATCGATTGAACATATATAGAACTTGATTAGTTTAGTCGTTATTGAGATCCGATAATCTCGGTTCGTCACAAATCGTCGATTCGAGTAAAGCAGTATGGCCGGTTTCGCATTTAAATAAATATTTAAATTTTTAATTAAATTCATGTTTATTAAATTATTTATATTTATAGTATTTAATAATATGATATATAAATAGCAGCATGATTAAGAAGGAAGTGAGGTACAATTCCAATTTTTTATAAGAATAATAAAGATTTAAATTTTAATACATAATCAATAATCCATTTAAATATTATAGAATAATATAATTATTGAATTATTCAAATTTCTATTAAAAAGAATTGAATTTGTATAGAAAATGTATTAGTAATAAATAAATAAAAGACTATTTTTATAAATTATTTTTTAAACGTTATGTTTTAATGTTCATAAAGTGTGTTTTTCACATTGATTTCATACATCTGTTAAGCTACCCTCCCCCTCAAAAATATTAAAATTATACTGGAATTTCAAACTTAAACAGATAAATTTTAATCGTGAGAGGAATGGATCGAAAAGATAAAAACATATAATTCTAAATGGCAAAAAAAGCAATAAATGATAAATAACAAGTTATGCTCAAGTTTGTAATATTTGTATGTTAAAGTAGATACAATAGAATATTGAAAATACATCATTAAAATTTTATACATCTACATTATACATATTTTACGCACAGGTGTGTGTATGTATATATGTGTGCGCGCGAGTACACGATGTATATATACATGACACATATACATGACACATATATTTATATAGGTATATATCAATGTATATTAGCAGATATAATTACAATATATATTTTTAAAAGTATATAATAGTAAATACATATAATAAAGCGTCAGCATAGATTCATAATCTTCTAAAACGGTTCTTTTTATTAACCATGCAAGCTCATTCAACTTGGCAATATTGTGCGTCTATAATAAAAATAACGATACATATTACATCCATCCTTTTACAATGATAAAGTTTTCATACTTCTAATTCGCCTTTTTTCCACCGACTCTTACCTGGAGTTATAGATACTATCCAGTCGATAAAAGCACTTACACGCATGTTTAAAGAAGGTTTATTTGAAGCACAGCCTTCACCAGCAGATATAATACCAACCAATATTATACGATTTGTGATAGGATCATTCCATAAAATAGGTCCACCACTATCCATCTAAGTTACACAAACAGAAAAAGAAGAAATCTATTATTTAAAGATAGTTTTTTGCATCACAATTCTTGAAAAATACCTTTTATACATTTAATTTATATTTAATTTCATTGATATTTAAATTCACAATAAAGAAACTAATTCTTCACCTGACATGTATCCTTTTCTGGAGTAAAAGTACATATTATGTTTGTATTATTAATTAAGCATTTTATTACTTTTAAATCTACTTTTTGGAGCGTATCGGATTTAGAGCCGCCATATTCATTTAAACCCCAGCCTAAAGATAAAATGATGTTAAAACAGATAATTATATTAGTAACTATGAAAATACTCAAAAACTAACCCAACGCAGTGACGATATCATTAGTGAACGAATCGTATTTATGTTTAAATGGTAAGCAGACTGGACCAACCTCAGGGCTATATTTGATTCTTTCAACAGTCTCACAAATAGCTATATCATTATAAGCATCTTTCGTAAAATCGTATTCAGGATGAATTACACATTCGGATAGCTCATATATCTTGGTTGCGTTGGTATCACTACCTATTCGCAAAGTATAATGTACAAATTTAGTATAAACTCTGATATTAAATCCATATGTACTTTATATTATACTGTAAAAATCTTATGTTAACAAACGATGCTTATTTCATTATATTCATTATTTTTTACATATACACGATAATGTTTTAAATTCTATTTATATTAAATGTTACTTCATTATTAGCTCATCCCTCATAACTTTGAATAAAAAGTTTCAATTCAGTAAAGAATGAAGTACTACATTTATGATGAAATAAAAAGAAATAAAAAATAATATTTTTATAACGCCCTTCCTACGAAAACATCTTTTTTCTAATAACAAAAACTTATAAAAAAACTTATAAAAATTTTATCCCATTAACTTTTTCAAATAAATTTGTATTACAAGCAGAAAATAATTATTCAATTTAATTTTATATTATTGCAACTGTAATCATAAATTTCATTTGCTTAATATCTTTCAAATATTTATAGTCTTTAAATATTATTTAGATATGTATATCTTATCAATGATTACCTGTGCTTACATCATGTTCGCCAACAACTGCGACAATCTCATTAATGTTTTTTTCGTACAGGCAATGGGCTGCTGTTAGTATATATCGATCATATATTATAGTAGCACCGCAAAATAATATATTTGTATTAAGATCCACAATCCCAGTCATCCAAGGAAATTCATTTATTTCGGTTTCCTCACCGCCTACTATTCTAGTCTAACAATAAGTAAGCAATGTAAATAATATTTATATTAATCCTGAACAAATTACTTTTAATAAATTACATAATTGATTAAAGCCAAATTACAAAGAATACGGAGAAAAAAACTAAAAATTTCACTGATTCTATAAATCTATCGTCATAATATACGGACAGTCAGTTTTCTATTGTTAAAGTAGTAAAGTTGACAACTCTCTGAATAACATTAGCGATTTGTTAAACCATCTAATCTTCTTTATAATTACAGATGTTGAATTCGCGCAGTAAGCTGTAGCTTTGCTGTATCTAATCTTAATCTATTTTTTTTCGCATGAAGCAACAAATAAATCAAAACATTCCAATAAATAAGCATTTCATAAAGTTTAATTTAACTTACCACTTTTTTTTTACCACACTGACAGGTATTACTTTTAATTTCACATATAAATCGACCTTGATTAAATGCTGAGGCAAATATTATAGTAATAGTTGAATTAAATCCTTCGAAGGTAATTGTATCTTGACCACATGTGGTATAAGATGTAGAATTTCCATCATCAAAAAGAAATATATTTTCATTACAGTCATCATTCTGTAAAATAATTTAAATTATTTGCGCGCGCGCGCATATGCGCGTTCTTTTTGTTCTTCTCTAACAACTTTGGCAATAATTATAATAATACAAATTCTAAACTTGAAAATTTTTATAATATGCTTAAAATCTAATTAAGATATATGTATGTCCCAATTTCAAATAAAATTTATATAACAAACTTACTAGATCAATATAACACGTTGCTTTAATAATAACAGAGCTGTGAATTTTCCAAGTGCAAATGTTTTCACCTCCATAATTCGGATAGTTATCATTTTGTAAATAAAGTGTTTGTCCCTCTTTTAAATCCAAAATTTTGTAACAATTAGGTTCAACTCCATTTAGCACCAAAAGAGATAGCATCAAACCCAATAAAACCTTGACTATAATAATTATACTGCTTTATAATTACATATACTAATAAAATTCCGTATTAGTATAGTTTTCAATGTGACATTTACGACATCTGAATTCGATAATATGAATTGATAAAGTTTATCATTTCGTTTTGTTATGAACAAGTAATTGTAAATTTTTTTATCTAAAATAATAATAAAATATACGAAATGGAAGATATTAATATTTCTATATATATTTTATATCTTATGTATTGTTATGTATTGTACATTGTAAGTAGTACGTTATGTTTTTTTATATTATGTTTTTATTTATATATTTCATTATGTATACTTATTATCGAAAAGTTTTCGAACGTGGAATTAAATTGCACAATATTGCGATCACTACAATTCGATAAAAAAATCATCGCGGATAAAAAAAGGCGACAAAAATATACTCATCCGCAAAAAAAATACACAGAAAATTTAAGAAAAATTTATCAAATTTTAAACGTTCATAACTTAGTAAATAATGAAGATTAAAAAATGTTTAAAAATACAAAATGACGAATGATTGAAGTATTTATTTTAAATAATATTTGAATAAGAATTGTACTGAATAAGAATTGTATTATTTTTGAAATGGCAGATGACAACGTAAGAAGATAGAAAATTAATCAAAGGTCCAAATTGTGACAATGACATGACGTGAATCAGATGTCGCAACCTGATGAGACAAATGAAAATAAAAAAGTATGAATTTCATCTTTAAAATACTTTTTTACAGAATTCAATACAATCATTTTTCGCTAAGTTATTCCAAATTTAAGGTAACCGCTATTATAAGCTAAAATTATGTATTGTATATTGTAATTTATCTCAACATAGAATTTGAATGATTGGAATTGAATCTCATTGTGTGTGTGTGTGTGTGTGTGTGTGTGTGTGTGCGCGCACACGTTTATGCACGTATTCACGCGCACCACACACACATACACACTCACACACACACACACACACATACACACACACACACACACACACACACACACAAACGCGTCATGCACACGCGCATATACGCACGCATATACACAATGAGATTCAATTCGGATCAGTCAAACTTTATGCATTCGTGTTGGGATGAATTACAATCATAATTTTAACTTATGACAATAGTACTTTAAATTAGGAATAACTCGGTGAAAAATGATCGTATTGAATTCCATGAAAAAGTATTTTAAAGATAAAATATTTTTATGTGCATTTTGTTCCATTAGGCTGCGATCGTCACATGGATCATCACATGGATCCTTTGTATATCAATTTTGCAAAGCCTCACTTTGTTATCTACCATTTTGAAAATAATGACCCAATATATAATTCTTCCTCAAATACACTTCAAGCTTCATTTTAAAATATATTTTTACCTTTATTATAATATTTACCAAATTATGAACATTTAAAATTTGGTAAGTTTTTCAAAATTTTCAGCATAACATTTTTTTGCAGGCAAGTATTTTAAAGCTTGAAACTTGCACTTTAGCGTGTTTTGGCCGCTTTTAAAAATATTTTTATCTTTACAGTTTTATATCTTAAAAAAGATGGCTATCATAATAAACGGCTAATCGTTATCGCGTATTCAAGACAAATTAGGTAATATCTTTTTTTGCTATTTCTTCTTTAATGTTTATTTCTTTTTGCGTTCATAATTTATCCTATGATTCTGCAGAAAATGAAAAAATTAAAAAATATTTCAAAACAATTAATTATTGTAAATAAACCTTTGTCATAAAAAATAGGAATAAAATAAGATATGTAAAACAATCAGAATGTACATTAATTTTTTTATAATTAATTATATACTGTTTAATTAAAATTGTGAATTTTTACATTATAATAAAATGATATTACTTCAAAGACAAAGTAAAAAATTTAATAAAAATTATAATATTGCACAATAGACATGTTTAAATTAAAGAGAATGTTAAAATTAAGAAATATTTAATGAGTTATTGCTGTATTACAATGAATTATTATATACACTGTAGTTTGAAAGATGATAACTATCGTAAAAACTGATAACTGTCGTATATAAAATTGCTATATCAACAAAAATGTAAGTGTAATAACGAATAAATTTTAGCATTTATGAAATGTTCATGCTTTGAATATCTCTGCTTTGCATGTTTTTATGATAATTATCATCCTTCAAAATGCAATGTATATAATAATTTATTGTGCACAGAAATAACTCGTTAAATATTTTTTAACATTAATTTTAATATATATTGTATAATATTACAAATTTTTGTTAAATCTTTTATTTTGGATTTTTGTATATTATTTTATTATATATAAAAATTCAATTTTAAACAGTACATATTTAATTATAAAAAAATAATGTACATTTTGATCCTTTTAAATAAATATTTTTTTATTTTACGTCTATTTTTTTATCACAAAGCTTAATAGTTCTTACAAAAATAATTTTTTTTTAAATATTTTTTAATTTGCGGAGTCATAAGATAAGTTAAGAACGTAAAAAGAAATAATTAAAAAAAAAACAACAAGATATTACCTAGTTCGTTTCTTGAACACGCGATAACAACTAACTGTTTACTTTGATATTCGTCACGCTTGCTGCCATTCCAAACTTTAAAATTTTATAACTTCGATCCTTTGGTTCTTAAATGTTACGTATTTTACGACATTAAAACTCTACATCTCAATATCAAATTTTCCATGATCCACATACCATTCCTCCTTGTGTAAGCTAAATCTAATTTTTTAAAATTGTAGAAAGATATACAGTACCGGTCAAAATTATATCATATTATTTTTCGATTTTTTGAGCATAATTTTTGTCAAAGTAAATCAAATTTATACAGTAGATACTTAGCATGTATCTTGTATGTAAAGTATAATGAGATTTGACCATGTACACCGTGATTTTTTAATTTTTTATTACACTGTAAAAATGTTAATTTTAACTTACAATATAGTAGGCTTTCTGAGGCATGCAAAAATGTTAAAATTAATATTTTTGTATTAATTTAACATTTTTATCTCAGAAAGTCCACTATATGACTGTAAATTAAAATTAATATTATATTTTTTACTGTGTAATTTTCCCAAAATCGCATTATTATATACTTTCTTTACTTTTCATAATACAGCCGTAATTTTTATCGTTATGACTTAACTTTAGTAGTTAGATTTAGTATTTTGCATTATGACTCGTAGTGCTCAAGATATATATATAAAAATGAACGACAGAAAGTCATCGTAAAGAGCCACAAATAAGGATGGACACATAAGAAGCTTGCCCAGCAATTTGGCATCTCTAAATCAACAGACCAAGTTTCTTAAGTGTGAAAGCTCTAGCGAAGCTATGCTAAGGAAAAGAAGAATGGCTGATTACACTACTTTTCTCGTCGATCGTAACATCCTTCGCATATCTTGCAGCAATCCACATTGTACAGCGTCGAACATTGCTGAGGAAATATTGAACAATCTGATCCGTCCGTACAGATCATATGCCATCCTCTGCAAGCCGGAAGTATGTGTAAAAGGCAACCCATGAAGAAACCATTCATTTCCGCAAAGAATTGGAAAGCGCGAATGGAGTAGGCCAAAGCATATTTCAACTAGACACCTCAACAATGGTCTGAGATGTCTTCTAAAGCGATAACAATAAGTTCATGTTATTTGATAATGATGATATAACATTGATTTTAATTCTTTGGATCTTTCAATTCTTTGTCTTGTTTTCAATTCTTGTCACAGTCTTCCGACGTGCAGATGACGGGATATAATTTGACAGATTAAACTGTTCAGAAGTCGGTATTTCCTCAGCAATGTCCGCCGCCGAAATATGCGAAGTTTGTTGCGTACGACGAGAAAAGTAGTGTAATGTGGTTGTCGATCACTCTTCTTCTTCTTAACATAGCTTCGTTAGACCTTTCAACGCTTAAGAAACTTGATCCGTTGATTTCGAGATGTCAAATTGTTGGACGAGCTTCTGTACATTCGTTCGTGTTTGTGATAACTTTATGATAACTTTCTGTTGTCGTTCCTCTATATCTTGAACACCATGACATTTATATATATAATATAAAATCTAACTATTAAAATTAGGTAAAAACGGCTATACCATGAAAAGTAAAGAAAGTACAATAATGCGATTTTGGGAAAAAATTAAAAAATCATGGTGTACATTATCAAGTCTCATTATACTTTACGAACAAGGTTCAAGATTCTGCCACGAAGTGTCTACTATATAAAATTTGAGCGTAATCAATTCATTCTGACAAAAGTTATACTCAAAAAATTGAAAGGTGATATAATTTTGATCGGTACAGAAATATTTTTTTTTAAATATACTTTTTAATATAAAATGCTATTGTTAATTCTCTCTCATTTATGTATATAATTTAACCAAATATTTGACATATGTATTTGAAATAATCAATTAAAATAATTAATGGACGTTAATAACATATTCACATGATATCAATATTTTTAGTTGTAATAATGGATAGTTAATAATCGAGTTATTAATATGCAATTATCTTTTTGACAATTTATTTTAAATTACAGACATCAGCCAAATTATTAAAAACGAAGACAAACCATTTGATTCATTATTGTATGTACTATTTATATTCCGTTTTATATAATACAACTTATTACACATACCTATATACATATAATCATTTTGTGCCATATACTCCTTTGTATACGTATTAATGGGAAAAATTCGAATACCTGCTTGTGTATTACATCAGCCATAATATTCTAAATTTAATTCATTAAAAAAATAAATTGTTATTCTGATCACTCTCCGAGAGATGACAGATGCGTCTGTTTTTATCTCGATGAAAAGATAAAGAGATAATATCTGACACTTTTACAGTTGTAGCTTGCCAATAAATCAGAAACGGATATCTTTATATAAAATAAAGATAATAATGAATTTAACGAGATATAAATACTAAAAGCAACTCATGTATAATATAAAATATTTTATAGAAACTTTGTTGGTCTCTCTTATTGAAATTAGGAAAATGTTCTATGTAAAACATATTTTATTTTTTTTTGCAAAAACATTATTATTAAGTTAAATATCAAAAACCTAAACACGCACTATGGCAAATATTTTATTCCAAATTTAAAGGAGAATGTTAAAAAGAAGATGATTTTTGCTCACAAAAGTGTAATAAAAAAAAATAGCGTTTTTTATAAATTTTGTCCTCCTGAATACAATAATGTTAATAAAAAGTTCAGGATGGATAGGAAACACCTTGAAATTTGAGCATGAACATGATATATTTAAACAAATTTCGATATTCTTGCTTATATTTCCCCAAGTGCCATAAACTTTTTAATAATTTTATCATATTCAGAAAGTCAAAATCTATAAAAAACATTTCTTTTACTTACATTTTTTTGGACAAAAAAAGTCGGATCTTTTTTAATATCCATCAAAAATACATTATTGTCCAGAAAGGTGTATGTAAAAGAAATAGCGTTTTTTGTAGATTTTAATCTCCTGAATATATAAAATTATTAAAAAGTTCGACACATTTGGGGAACATCTTGAAAAGTAAACAAAAATATCGAAATTTGTTTAAATATATTACGTTCATGATCAATTTTCAAGGTGTTCTCTATCGATCCCGAACTTTTTATTAACATTATCAAATTCAGAAAGTCAAAATCTATAAAAAACACTATTCCTTTTATTTATATCTTTGTGAGCAAAAATCGGCCTCCTTTTTAACATCCTCCTTTAAAAATCTCTTTCTTTTTGCCGAAAATAAATAATAAACTCTGTATCCATTTTAATATAAAACCAAATTAAATGGAAAAAGATTCTTTCATGTTATATTTTATAAATGGAAATTTCTGGATATCTCTCTCTCTCTCTCTCTCTTTTTCTCTCGTTTGCTCTCTTTTCCCAAGATCTTCGTTTTTCAACATTTCTTTAATGATAGATATTTTAACACAATTTTATTTATATACACATAATTTAATTACTAAAATATATAATGTTGGAAAAAAAGAATACATACTCCAGAATAAAATTATCAATAAAAAAATAAAAAATTTTAAAGTATATATCTACAAATTCTGATCTATAATAGCGATATCCTGCATAATAAAAATTTTATAAGATAATTATCTTATAATAATTGTAAATTATTTCAATTTTATTTAATGTAATATTAATATTTATACGTACAAAA